TCAATTTTTTTGTTTTTACATTGGGGGTGGGGGTGATTTAATTTAAGGAATTTAAAGAACGTATGGATGTAGGCAAAAAGCTAGGTAGATCCACTAAGATGGATATATGAAAATAAATATTACCCAAAGGACTATTTAACCATTATCCACGTATTTCTCTTTTTGCAACTTGGACAAATCCAGTTGTTCGAGTATATTCTTAAGATTTTACAAAGCCATGGTCAAACCTCTACAAGTACATGTAAGGGTTCTTACATAATAATCCGATCCAGGCATCTGCATCTCAAAAAAGATCGAGTGATAACTTATGTCGCAAGAGTATTCACAAGATGTTATAAATCGAGGAAGATCAAAGACTCTAGAAGTAATTAACGAAAATGGTTGAAATTTGATAGACTTCTTTGTTTCATTAATCTCAACCAGGAAGAATAATGTCAAGTTGATCGGATGATAATATTGATAACCTTGCCATTCGAGTGTTTATAAGATTCTATATGCAGACAGCAACGACAATTACTCAAGAAGTAATTAAAGGAGTTAGTCTAAATTCGATGGACTTATTTCTTTCACTAAACTGAATAATATGTAAAAACACTTGCCACTAGCGCGTTCATAAGATTCTAGGACAATATAGTTTTTGAAAAAATCGGATGGTCGATGGAGACGGTAATGCGTTCACAAGAAATTGTATGGACCGGCCTACGGTTGAGGCGACGGCAATATCCGGTCACGTATCACTGTGGGTATAATTATAAAGGTATATCCAGCTAATCTGTTGGTTTTTTGGGGGGTGGGGTGGGGGGGTAAGTTATTTTTTCTTCGAAAAAAAAAAGACCCTAAAAAGTCGAACTATTTTGCCAGTTGCATCGTCGCTAAAACATGCATTATTTAGAGCGTACAACAACACCATTTTTGTCGTGACTAATTGTGTTTTTTTTTTTAATTTACATATACAACTCGGTTAATTATTTGTTCTGTCTGACATACACCTGTAGCTGAGAAGATAAATTTGTAAAGAATTTAATTTTAGAAATAAGTTGGTGATTATACAGACATGTCGATTTGAAAATGGAGTATTAAAGAAAAGGTGACTAATCTAGGGGAAACATACTGTCATAAGTTGTTAATAGGAACATGAAAAATCCATTTTATCCATTAGAAAATGGAACTGTTGTTTGTTAGGTGGTGAAATGATTTATAGCAGACAGACACAACTGTGATGACAGTTGTCTAATAACTTGCTTACATATACGCCTTTCAGCAGTTAATTCCGATTTATTTATCAATTTTGTGTTTTTTGTTTTATTTTGAGTAATCTCTGCAAGTATCCAACCAAAAGTAATCTTAGAATATGTGACCAGTCGATCCTGTCCAGCCTTCTGACGGTACCATAACGCTATTACAACATGCTCTAAGTTTTATCCTTATATTAGTCGAACTAAACCAGCAAGAAACATCAAAATTTCCATGACAATGACAGTAATGCCTAAAAACACTATGCAAAGTTTATTCGTCTATAGTTCGCGAAATATTCGCCGCCGAAACTAATCGCTCCACGCAGTGGATACACAGGGTGAATGGCTGTCGCCTGAAACTAAACCTAATTCACGCATGCACCAAAGCGCTTTTGGCCACATGAGATAGGTGGTATCGGGCGATAAATATTGGAGAATGGTGTCGGTCGATTGCCGCTTGTTCAGACACACTAGGCGAAATTCGCTGGCGAAGGGTTCGCCCTAATGGTTCACCGTAAAAAATTCGCCGAGTGTGTCCCATGCATAACCGCGAAAAAATAGCGTATTATGCCAACCTGCTTTACAAAAAGACAGGTGGATGAGCGAACAAGGTGACGACAATATAAATGGTTTCATAATGGACCAGTACATCTTGTTATAAAAACCCGGCACGTTGACGCCCAGGGGTTATTTACGGCATGATTTTAATGAAGAGAAAACCATCTATATAATTCTTCTTAGAGAGCAAATACCCTTTTTTAGAAAGCAATCTTCTTAGCGTGATATCGTTACATGAAGATATACGACTTAATTAGCCGAAGTTTTGTTATAAAAGATTATTTATAAATATATTTAAAACGTGGATTTTGATATAAAAGGTTATTTATAAATATATTTCAAACATGGATTAAAACATATTCCCAATAAAATATTACGCTTTTAACTGTAATCCTGTTGACAGGTTTAAATATAGCTCTTTATTATTGTTTTTTTTTAAACATAAGAATAACACCAGTAAAATAATACTCGGTATTTCACTTATCATTGTATTTTAGCTTAAGTGGGTAAACTGACGGCTACCGAATTAGATTATGGTGGGTTTTTTTTTTGCATTATTACTTGCTCTATTAATTTTAACGATAGTGTTTAATTTCTGAAAGTCTTTAAATTGATATCGGGAAAACGTTGCGCGGATAGTGAACCACAGCCTTCGTTGCCATTTTTTGCGTTGACCTACCGGTATTCTTTCCATCCAGTGTCTTACGTGTATCTCCTTTGGCAATATCATGTGTACTGTTTGTTGTGGCTCTATTTTGTTTTGCAGTTATTCTGTCATGTATTTTAAAATATATCGATTATGTTTGAGTATGAAATAAGCTTCTTAAGGACATTGCACAATATCATAATTATTATAATTAAGAGTAGGGTGGTGTTGAAAAAGTACGCCATTTAATTATAAATGAAATCCAATTTATGTATATGAGATTAGGTCGTTAATTTAAAGTGACAATGCATCGAGAAATAAAGATTACACTTGAGGAACAAAAATGTAGTAACTTCGCACGAGGTATATTTTTTTAAAAAAAAACTAGTTTGCAGTTATAATCGCCAGAAGTGATCAACGGAAATTGTTGAAATTCGCTAATTTGAATTACAGATCGGATAATAGACCGAATCATGGCTTTATTGCACTCGGCAAACCTCAGCAGATTCCAGTATAAGGCTACCTAAGATGTAGAATACAGGAATCTGCCGAGGTTTACCAAGTGGTTTAATTGGTTTATAACTGCGAATGAATTGTTAGAAAATTGCATTTATATCATTTCCTAGACAAAGATCTGTAGATCTATTTGTGAAAATTTTAGCAGCCTGTTGTTGTTGTCAAGATAATTATGAGTTGCGTAACCGAGTTGATACGTCATAATAATAATCAAACCGAGATACCATTGCGTATTTATAAATATTTATGAATTGCGTAAGCGAGTCAATACGTCAAACAGAAGTATACAGCAACATCATAGTGTAAACATAATTATTCATGTTTTATTTATATATATATTAAAGAATCTTTGCGTCATTTACATTTTTCAGGAAATATCAAATTCCCCACTACTTAATAAACGCTAAGATGTACTCAATTAAGAAAACATAATCAAAATATCCGGCTTGGATTCAATCGGATTAACAAGAGACCCATCAAAAGATTTAGCAAAGTTCATAAGTGGCGCTGGAGTGGGTTGACTATGTATTATTCTCGTATCTATAGTTTATGAGTTTATGCAGAATTGACCAACTTTCAATTCATCATGGTAAATACTGAACAAAATTTTACTCATCGTCATTTTAGAGATTCAACTTTTACAATAATAATATTATAGTTTTCAAGGGATGATTAATAATTCCTCAAATGACGTGCACAGACTTTAAAGGGTCACGAACGGATAGGATGTAAAACTTGTTGTAGTCTTAAATGACTTATTGTAAGTTTTAATTTTTATGTAATTTTCACTTTTATTTCCAACGAATGACCCCAAATGCAACGGGGCTTAACATCCTACATTTCTGCACCGACTGGGCTAATGCATAGCGGGCAAACAAGATAGTACAAGCTTGTGGTGTTAGCCTTTCATAGTCAAAGCACCTAATTGAATATAGAACGATTGAATTGAATAAAGTGTGTGTTCAAAAGCTAATTTTGACATATTTACATTAATTCAAGGGTGATAACCCAGCGATTAATTGACAAATCACATGGATATAAAGTTACATACCAAGTTTCATCAAGTTTGTTGACCCTAGTGCGTCCACTAGATACTATAAGTGTCGAATTTTTACTATGTCAAGGTTGATAACTCTGTAAGTCCCCATACCAGACTTCATTAAAATCAGATGATAAACCTTGCATTCATTGATAGGCAGGGTTGACGGCAATATACGTCCACATAAAATATTTCGACTTTATATCTATAGCTTATTTGTTTGTGTTACTTTAAAATATTACATGGTGTAATAATATAAAACATATAACAGGCTTAAACATACATTATGCAAGAGCTAAATCTGCCTATTGTAGGTCTTTCTTTAGGCCTGAAATGTTATATAGATTATTAATTAGACATTAATTAAAAAAAAAAACAAGATCATAATCCACTCTCGATGACATCGGATTTCTCCGATATTAAATAGATTAAAATGGTTCAGCCATATTTTGATTTAATTTAAAAATGGAGGAGCGAGACTTAGCTTGGAACAACCAGTACGGTGGTTGAAATTATTGCACACATCTTCAAAGGATAATATCTTCGCTCGCAATACAGTAATTTGAATGAAATTGTCAAATTATTCATTTTAAATTATCTATTTTTGAAATATTATAGCCTAGAATGACTAGCTCTTTATCTAAATCTTGTCATCTCTGGCTAACATTTGTCGATGAGGAATCATGCCAGTTTAAAAAAAAATAATCTAAACCAAATCATCATTTAAAGTGATATTCTCTTTATTATAAGAAATGATTTTGAAGATCAAAGAGAGAGTGTTATTTTATCTTTGCATGTTATTTATCAAATAATTATTACTTAAATAATGTTTTTATGTCAATGACGCAAGTATTACGTATTGTACCTGTAAAGAACTCCCAACGTGGTATCAATCAAAGGCAGCTTAAAAGATACACCACCGAAGTTGACTAGCTAAAATATGAATAAAGATAAAATTTAACTTAATATAAATAGTAGATAATAAATACCTAGATATCGCTTGATGCTATGCCGTTTCACCTTTCTCACTAATTAAAGGTAAAAAGGGTTGGCCATTAGTCACACCTGTGTATGAATGTGCACGCGGTAGAGAAGGTGCGCTCAAAAGATCATTATCTTTCATTTCATGCAGGCGTACTTGAACAGAGTAGGTCCTCTTCAGATTGTTGCCATTTTGGAGATTCAACTTCCGGTTTAATACCGGAAGTCGAGCAGTAGACGTTGATTTCTTTATGGCTTTAAAACTGCCCCTCCTCGTATCTTTGTAACATAAATGTTGAATCTTTCTGCGGGTATATCTATAAAATGAACCTCGTAATATTTTATTTCTCAGTCCATAAATGGCAGCGTTTGTAAATGGCGCCGCTTGGAAGAAGGTAGTTGATATGGAAACTAAAACACTGTTTGCTGAATCACCCTTACAAATTTCATAACTAAGAACCACACTGTAAGGTATATAGGTTAAAGCGAATGATCCCACTAACTGTAATATTGTACTCATTGCTTTTGTTCCGCGCATGGATAAAGTTGTTGGATTTGCAGGAGCTATGGGCGCTTGTATCACACTCACCATACGAACCATAGTGGCGGCAATGCGGCTACTCTGGGTTCGAGCTATCCTAAATATATGCGCGTAACAATAGATCACTAAAGCCAAGGGAATACAGAATGCACAGCATATATACACCACAGTATACCATCGATGATGCACATTGGTACCACGAACAGCACATAAACCCATCGCAGGATGGAGAGCATATTCGTTAGCTCCCATTAAAGGTGGTAAACACAGGGCAACGGCACACATCCAAAATCCTAGAAAACAGCCGGACATTTTTTTAAATGTTGCTGTAAGGGAGTGATGTAAGGGAGCGGCTATTGTTTGATATTTATCCCAACTTAAAGCTGTAATTGTCCATACGGAAACGCACGTTAATATGGAATTCACAAAAGCATAAATTTGGCAAGTGATACTGCCACCTATCCATTCTCGCTTTAATATCACAATAGCGGGAACAAAAGTTGTTATAACACTAGCGGCTAACCCCACGGAGCCTAGATGCACCAGTAGAACATTCCTTACAGTCCGCAGACGTCGATTAGGTACGATAGCAATTACCATAAATGCGTTGAAAATGGCGCCAAATAAACTTATTATTATCAAGGAGACCCCGCGTAATATATATACAGTGTCTGGAAACCAGAGTCTATGTGATATGTCGTTGTCATCCAGTATATTATCCGTTACCATTAAAATGGCGGTTGTGTTTTCTTCCACCATTTCATCAAGATAAGAAGGATGTTTAATCGGTATGATAATAAAATCAAACCGCAGTTAACATCATAATATGTCGTATTGTATGATTAAATATAATTTATGGACTAGATATTGCGAGACGATGCGAGACTTATTGAAAAAATTGCCAAACAATGCCATCAGTTTAGAATGCCAAGAAAACACGAGAGATCACGAGATAATATCTCGACTATAAAACCAGAACAAATTATGTTCGGTTAACAGACAGTCATCTGGTAATTAACGCGTTATTTTATGAGAATACTGATGGAGGAAGTCATCGGATGTACTAATTTAACCTGGTTTCGTTTCACGTTTGGTGTTGAGCTTTCTAATAAAATTTGATATTTACCAGATTTCGTATGTTACATTTTTTAAATAACAAACGCGTTTCTCCATGATAGTTTAGGTAACACTTCATTATGATCAAACGCGATAATTATTTCATTCATTTACTTATAATTATTATACTAATTACGGATATATATTAAAGCCAGACCTTTTTCTTTTCGTTCCGTAATAAATACATTTCTGAAAGATGGACGAGATCTGGCGTGATTTCTCTGTAGCAGATGCTTTATCAGTCTAAACGAGTGTCTTAGATCAGGCAATAAAATCATCAATTCATTCCAGATTGTCTTTGCTGTCAGTTTAATGGCATTTAAAACCCTTTCGTTTCGTTTCCAGAACTTAAAATCCACAAAATTCATTCACCTTGCATTGATCGATGTTATAATTTGTTTATAAAAGAGCTCAACACGTTGAAAGGTTTCTAAACGTCTGTAGCCAGATCTGGTGTCTAGAGTGTTAAGGTAAATCTGTATAGTTCAACTATAACTTCCTGTCCAATCAGTCAGTCATCAGTAGCTAGATCTCTTCTTTAGAACTCAGCCCACTGTGTGCATTTCTATTACTGGAATCACAGCTTCAGCTGAAAAGACAAGATAGAGAATAAATGAATGCCAATAATAAAATCTTTTCAATGCCTTGCTGCAGGTGTAATAAAAATATACCCATGTTATAAAGACACACTAGGAACATTATGCTGTAATTGAGATGGCATGGGTTACGTGTGGAATGCAATTATGAGGAAATTGCCAGAATAGCCGCGTTTGCGCCCATTCTCTATATAATTTCAACTGTCAATGGATCATTTATCTGTACTGCTAAATAAACAGGACCTCAGTTTTTCATACCACCTTTCCTTACAGCACAGCTTGTTCAGAAACTGACCATGCTAGGATCCGAACTTGACACTGGTTAGTGCTAAATAATAAGACCAGCTCAACGAGATGTAAACAAGGCTAGCGCTAATCCCAACCCTAACCCTGGACCTAGCCCCAATGCTTACCCTAATCCTAACCTACAATCTCGCCAACAATCACGTGCCCTAACCTTATTTACATCTCAGCGACCTTGACAAAAAATTGAGCTGGCCTTAACAAATAGATTTAGCCCCCGTCAATTAGTTGTGAGTCCTGTAGTGTTCTATACTGCATAATGTTAATGTTCACTAAATTCTAAGCCAATTCTAAGGTCAGCGACCTTGACAAAAAATTGAGCTGGCCTTAACAAATAGATTTAGCCCCCGTCAATTAGCTGTGAGGCCTGTAGTGTTCTATACTGCATAACGTTAATGTTCACTAAATTCTAAGCCAATTTCAGAATATATATGAAGAGAAAAAATATTTAATACGAACGATGTTTTAGCACGACACCTTCCAGGTACATGTACTATGTAAATGTGAAGTCAAAGAAATAACGTTCTAGAAAGAGTTAGCATACTGTGCCTCGTATATGACAACCACAACTTTAAAGTTAAACAATGCGATAGTTAGGACTGATCACTACTTCTTAGTATAATTGGTCATTTGCAGTGATAATTATAGATTATGGAAAACGATATGGTATAACAGACCCGCAGATCAATCACCCAACTGTGCGAATCGAGTATACGATGAATAATAGAGATTTTAACAATGTTTGGGGAAATTTGTTTGAATACCGAACAATAAATAAATGGGTCTGAAAGGTTTGGCGCCTGTACAAGTAAGAGTAGTAGATATCACCAATTATTCTGATTCCACATGAAGGAAAAGTGAAGGGTTATGCTGGCCTCTGATTTGCTTTGTCATAGGACACATCTAAAAAAAATAGAAATTTGGTTTTAAATCTAGCAACCAATATGTTATGTATAAGATAGCAAAGTGAGTTTCGATACCCTGGGAGAAATATATATATATATATATATATACATGTATACATATATATATGCTTATCACTCACGAAAACGTGCAGTCAGCCACGTAGTGGTACTGGGTCTATTTAGTTTATGCTCTGAATGGAACTATTAAGTAGACTTTTCTTTGAACCCACGTCCGACAGTTTATCCTAATCTATATATAGCTGCTACACATAATACGAATATCGGACTTTATAACGACACATAGCAATTTCATTTCAAAATAACCTGTTGTTAAGAAATCATATTAAGAAAATTAATTTGTAATCAATTTTCTGGACCGTTCGAACTCTGCAGTAACCACACTAGACAATTTTCTGGATTATAGCATTTGTGCTCTTAAGATATAGTTATCAGGGCTGATCATACCAATACTATGCCCGTTTTAGTAACTGATCATTTTCACCTGCATCTTAATTATTTTCTTCTTTAATCTAACCAAGAAGCCTTTGTAGTTGAAAGATGAATGTCGACAGTCGTGCAAAGATTTAACTGTGCTGTGATTAACCCAAGATCTAAGGAGTCGACCGTAGAGATTTTCTTCTTATTGTTATAATAAACAGTAACGATATAGCTTAGTAAATCGTATATAAAAATAATAACATACTAATGTTTAAGATCTGAAACCATTCCAGGTCCAAAGTAAATAAATAATTTCCTAAAGCTTTAAGGTCCTTCATATAGCATTATCAATGGTTCTAAAAATAGAGATATCGTTCTTTATTCATGATTTTATAATACACGTTGTCGTTTTTTCCTCGTTATTTTCCGAGGAGAGATCAGCAATAATCTGATACAAGTAGAGAACATGTGACTAGCCATTATTTCTTCAAACGATATAAAACCTATCAAAATCTCTGGGTTAAATCTTAAAGAGACGTCGGCGATATCGATTATCGATAAATTAAAATTTTCGATTTAATACGATTTTGATGATAATGATTATGAAAAGGAAATTGGATATGGGTATCTATCGATTGCCACATGGCGGCAAATGTTAAACCATTGTCTGATTGTAAAGATATTCAAATTCTCCAACCAACGCCGAAGTTAAATCAATCCGTACTTTATTTAATTTTAAAAAATAGGATAAGAAAAACCAATATATTTCTTGAATTCAAACAATTACTGACTGATATATCTGCTTACGGATTAAATCTAAAAACATTCATGGAAACTTGTCAGACCTCCGTATACGTCCACCAACAACATAGTCGTCAGTGCTATATATACATAATATATATATATAAACTAAGCTTAAAACACATCCATGGGCTATATACGTATTCTTGCTTGTGTCGTTCATCAATTTTGAAAGTCAAAGCGTAAACGATGATAAAATTCTCCCATTTAAGATCGTAAAATTCTTAATTGCAAATGTGTTTTTCAGATCAACTTTTAAAAAATTCCCCCGAAAACTTCGTTCTTTATCGCCTTCGTAAGCTTTAAAAGTGATTGCGATGTACTGCTGTTGCTGCCATGAACATTCATAAAATTCGGGCTGCCGTTTACCTCCTTATAAGTCGATTTATTTCGTTATTATTCTTCCCTTCTAGGCGGTAATAATGTTGGATCGGGTGTTTATTCTGTATGTCCTTAATGACCTCAGTTTTAAAAACACCTTCGAAAACACTGCGCTGTATCGTGTTCATGGTCTTAACAATCTCAAATTTGTATATCGGAGATAACTCCATGTGATCTTTGAAATTTCAGAATTTCGATAAGGTTCTGCGATTCGCGTTCGCAATTTACGATCAGAAAATTTGGAATTTCGATAGGACTCTTACTTAAATCGATGAATAATCCAGCCAAGTTTGAAAATTCATCAATCTAAAAATTCGGCTTTCTTCCTTACGATCCCCTAAGCGGGGAGATATATTCTGTGTAAGATAAAGTACGAGACTGAGGTTATGCTGGGGAAAGAAAGACTGAGGGATATACCCCAAGAAAAAGTAAAAACCGAGGCCGGTAGGTCGAGGATTTTCCGTCATTGTTGTTTTCTAAAGTCTTTCTCCCCCAGCATAACCGAAGTCGAGGACTTTATCTTGCTTATAAACCGTCTGTTTACATGTACGCAAGATGAGAATAATATCCCAGAATTCCCGAAAGAAAAACCTTATATCATGTTTTCTTATGGAAAAAAAACCTACCCTGGAAGAATAACCTGTTACAGGTTTAAAGAAAAACTTTCAGAAGAATAACTCCAAATTTCCTTGTATATATCCAAAACCTCCCCCGACTTTCAGACCGCGGGTTATTCTGGGCATAGAATATACCCCAAAGATCAAAGAGATTTACCGTTACAGGTTTATAAGTACTTATAACCCACTGGACTGAATTTGTAAGAACTCCCACCTCTCGAATGTTGACCAGAAACCACACACTTGCGGAGCGATATACAGATGGAAGAATACACGTCCAAGTTCAATATAGCCGTATATATATATAACTTATTTGTGGTAATCGGACACAGAACGGAAATTATATAAAAGCACAACCCACACTAGATAGCCCTGGGAATTGGCATCATGGGTGCTAGGAAAGTTATTCGATGTCTCGTTCATAACCCTTCAATAATTGAAGTTATGTCTATTATGTTGTGGTTTATATATGAGACCAATAGATGAATACCGTACTGTTATTTGTACTATTTTCATACACACCCATGATTCTTACAAAAAGTTAATTCAAATAGATCATTACGCCAATCTAA